CTAGTGAATTGTTTGTATCCGTTTCATGTTGGCATTTGTAGTTTGTATTTTGAATCGTTAAGTGCTGTTTATACAGTATAATCAATGCTTTCCCAACTTGTTTGGTTGCCCTCCATGACTAAATATTTGTGGAACAAGATGTTTACTGTAACTATCTTTAAAATCGATAAGGCAGCATACTTTTACTTCATCTTTTGCCAGATAGTGAATGCCAGGTGGTATGGGGGTCAGAAATCCAGCATTAAAAAAAAGAAAAAGAAAGAAAAAAAGAGTAAGTGAAAAGCAGGAAAATACAGAAAAGCACAGAAGTATGATGGAGAGTATGAGAGAGATTTGGCTATTATAGTTTGTTAATATATAAAGCAGCTAATACTTTTACATGAACTTTAGAAGGTATAATATAGTTTTAACTGCTGATCACTTAAGTCAGACAGGCTTTTGGCCACATGTACGTGACTTCCCTTTTGGAATTAGCTTTACAGTTAATTTAAAACTCCTTTAGAGAGCCATTAAAAGATGCACATGGGGATTGACATTTATGGAAAACAGTAGCCAATTCTAGTGACAGAACATAGACTACCAACTAATTGACATCAATTTCACACTTAACAGAATTGCAGACTTTTCCTCCAGGCTTTCAGTGTCCCTGACTAGGAGGTTAATGATTGAAATCTATGACTTAGGGCTTCCATTTTAGACCACATGCTTAATTCCTGTTCGCAATCCAGAATTTTCTATATCAGTTTTGGTCTGCTCAACTGACAACCACCCCTTCCTCCAGTCCTAATATAAGAGCCCCAAACCAATCGGCCTGATCGACAACGTTTTTCTTTCGAAGCGCACTTTTCCTGAAAGCAGACTGTGCGTGCAACTGAATTGGACGCACATGCTCACAACCTTGGAGCCTGAAAGACACTGTGGTAAGGCAAATGAGCTCTAACCTGCTGGGTTGGGTTATTCCCTGTCTAATCTAGGGCATCAAGAGACATTCCTAGCTGTCCGGAGGCTAATATACCCTACGGTGTGTCACAAAAGGAAGTGCGCGAAATATGACCTCAGGAATCTGTTATTCTTCACATATACCAAGCACTAGAAAAGATGTTTTTTTCACTATGTGAAAAGCAAGTCTCCTGTTGCTGACAAACCTATGTGAAAATCTGTACTTGTAATAATTTCTGGCAGGGATATAAATTACCAAGAATGGAGTTCTAAAATTTTGTGTTGATGGGAGTAACATTACTATTTGGGGAAGTGAAAAGAAGAGATTATTTGCTGTTACAACTGACTTATGGAAAAAACTTTAAAAAATAAAGCTATTTTAATGGCACTGATTCAAATCCATGTTTGTATTTATGTAAACAATAGTCTTTTCCTCTTGACTTTGCTCCTAAGTGCAAGGATACAGTAGCATGTTTTCATTTGTAGCCTTCCTGTTCCCTTCAGTACCTCCAGTATGTATATTACTATACTAAATGAAGTAATAGATCATCTAACAAAGATCACTATGTGCAATACTGTATTTAGTGTTTCTATTTCAAGTTTTTTAGAATGTTAATTTATATGAAAATAAAAGGAATAATAATGAAATAACTGCCTTCTCTCTTCACTGTCAGGCTAAGCTGTAGTTTGCTAGCAACGGTTTGCTCCCTAAGCATCGCATCCCATTCAGGCTCCTGTGATCAAGGAAAAAGCTTTGTGAAGGGATCGGTGGAAACGGGGCTTCTCTTCCCTTGCCTTTTGGAAGCATAGTGACAGTAATGCCCAGTTCTGTGGATATATTACCTTTTCCCCAGGTGGTGGTAGTGAGGAGCTTCAGAGTCCTATACCCAATCAGACTACGTACCACTCACTTCTCTGGCTTGTGCATGCCTTCCGGAGTGCATTTGGCTCAGGTTTGTAACCTGTTCCTACCAACACTGCCCATGTAACAGTCTCCAGAAATTGCCATTAGGGCGAAAACATGCATTACAAGTATTATCTGCATATTATAATGTCTTTTTATATATATATATGTTTTATATCATTAAAGTGTTGTTCAGCAACCTGGTAGGGCTGTCACATGCATACATACCACCCTTTTCACTGGATCTGCAGCGTGGATGCTAAAAGTTATTTGCAAACCTCTCTCTGAAGAACAGTGTCAAAGGCTGACAGCAGCTGGTGGTACCATGTTATGATCTTAAGATACAAGCTGCTACACAGATTTTTCTCCTTCGTTTTGCTCAGGCCCAAGCGGTTTGGGTGAACGTGCCTCTCTTTTATACAGCTTCTCGCCAGCCTGTTTTCAAACTTCCATACAAAGTGAAGTAGCCCACTATGTGCAGCACTAAAGTTGACCCACAGCACTCCCAGAGTGGATTCCCAGCATATAAGTTTCACCACTGCTCTTTTTTTTTTTCAGTGGCACACTCAGCTTTTTACAGAATTCTGGACTAATGTTCTTCTGTTTGTTTGTTTCGGTGTGTTTTAAAGAGGTCGAACACCCCAGTGGTCCCCTCTCCCCCCATTTACTGCGACATCAAGCATACTACACTTTGAGTTGGCTGTAGTCCTACAAGGGTTCTCACGGTCAAAATTCTGAGCCTTTGTTGATCACCAACACCACATCTCACTCACCGTTACCTAAACAAATGCAGCAGCTAAATAAGGACTTTCATACCTGAGCAGCAGATGTGACTTACTGAGAATAACAGCCTGTTTTTGTTATGAGGAGCTAAGAAGATTCATGCTGTTTTGCTTGCAAATTAAAGCCTTTCAGAAGCATGGTACTTTGTCACGTCATGACACAGTAGTGGTTAGCTTTTTTTGTAGCACCTTTCATCACCCCAAAGCACTTCCAAAACTTAGTTAAGTATTAACCAACAGCGGCAGCGGGAATACAGTTAGTGACATCTTCCATAGACTGACGTTTTTTCTTGCCCAATTTTTCAGTGATCAGCTTAAAAAGTTGGAAGCAGTTATTAATTTTATTGAGAGAAGATATAGCAAGTCTTTGCATTGCCATTATTTTGTTGCATACTCCAGGTTAATAAGCAAAGCCGAGTTTGTTCCAAGTCCATTATATCATTTACTTAAGTTATACCAATTTTAAACTGCTAGGGACAGAATAAGTGAAAACTGATGGAGTTGAGTTTTTCTGAAGATAGTTTGAACAGGTCAGCAAAGGAGGGAGGCAGAAAACCATGTCCCACACCATTCAGGTCTGCCACCCATCTATCAAATGGGATTCACGTTACAGAACAGGTTTTCCAAGCCATTCTCTTGCTTACGACAGACCCATCTGTACATCTGCTGTACCTGACATTCATCCAACCTACTTGTAAAGGCATCCAGTGGTAAGTCCATTGCCTCAAAAAGATGGTGTCTTTCTGAAGACAAAGGGTCCCCATTGAGAGAGCGCTGTTTTCTCTTTTATTCCCAGCTGCAGCTCAAATTTAAGCTCCTAGAAACTTCATTTGTCACTCACCCCAAATTGGGGCCCTGCCAATGTGGCAGTTCCATGGTGGCTTAAAATTTAATTTTCTGTCCCCGTCCTTCCCCTCTCCCACAATACCACTCTAAGAAATACTGGATCTATCTGACCTAAAGCTGTTTTCATCTACCCCGAGAGATGTGCCTCGCTCTTGGATTGCTTCTACAAGGGCGAGTATTTTGGATTACAGCGTATGCCTCTGGTATGGTGGTTCAGCCGTCGGGCAGCAAGAGGCTGGGAGAGCTGGAGTCTAGGCTGTACCACAAACAGGAGAGGTTCAGGTGGGTGGGTGGGTGCTGGGCAATGAAGCTACCTGCAAAGCAGGGAAGTGGCTAAGGGACAGGTGGAAATGAGAGAGGGGCGTTGGAGGAGATGGCTGCCTGAGCTCCTTTTGAGCCGGTTGACAGAGGCACTTGCGAGTTTTGAGCAGAGGGCCCTGACCACGCTTAGGTGGCTAAAGCACAGTAAAAGAGTAATTCTCAAAACCAACAGCTACTAAAAAAAAAAAAAAACCAACCAAAAATTGTTGAACTGTGAGATTTGGGCAAGAGATGGGGAAGGGAAGAGAGCAAAGGGTTCCTGCAGGTGTCAGTTATAGTCCCATAAAGGACATAGCCCTCCCTTGCTAGTCGTGGTCTAGGTGCTCCTGCTTCTTTCAAAACCCGTGACAGGCATCTCTTCTGGTCACATGGAGGCTCATTCCTCAGCGTGAGAACTCCTTTTGCTCACGGGAGTTTTCCTTCAAGATTATTTTGCAACTATCTTTTCTCTGGGTTGGAAAGAAAAAAAAGAAAAAAACCCAAAACACTACCCTACCTTTGGAGAGACATACAGTGTACTCAGTCAAGAGCTGACAGCAACCACTAAAGCTCACCTGTATCTTAAGACATACTTCTTTTTTTTTTTTTTTTCCCCTATGAGTAGTTTGGTGCCTGTTACATAAGGATCTAGCTATATTTCAAGCAAAACCACTTAGGTCAGGGTAATAGTTACTTCTCTTACCGCAAATGATGCCAGCAGTTTAGCCAG